AGAACCCCCCCCCCCTACATCTGCCATTGCTTTAACACTTGCTGTTCATCAAGCCATTTTTTACAAAAGAGTTTAACAATCCAGTTAAATCATGTACAATACTTTTATCATTTAAAAAGATATGCAAAGATTTGTTGTTTTAAATCTTCAAATCAGCAACTGATTAATCTTTCAGTTTTGTGTTTATATTTTACTGTTGTTTCTTTATTTTTGTTGATGTTTCTGCTATTATGTTCATTTTGTGGCTTTTTAATTAGCTGTTTTATATATATATATATATATACACATGTACCGGTATATATATACATATGCTCAACATCCATGATGGATTTTTCTTACTGAATTTATTGAGTACTCAAATAAAGATCTATCTATCCAGGGTTCCCCCCATTGCATAAAGTATTGGACAATTTGCATAATAATAGAATATGTTAATGAATTATATTGTATTCATTGTAATGCTAAATTGGTTTTATTGTTTATCCAAAATTAAACAGTTGGGAACCCCTACTCTTTAATGCAGGGCTACATAGGCTACTCCAAAATGTTGAGTATTCTGTTGACGAAGCAATGAAATTCTCTAATACGCAAGTCATTATGCACTGCGTTTTTTTTGGTACGTACAATAACAATGTGTCCTGTAACGCAACATTTTTGATTTATGATAAATCATAATCTGATTTAGTATACAGTATGGAGTAATGAACAATATTGAAGCATAATTGTATGCTTTCGTCCTATCGTATCTTTAACAGCATTTTCCAGAATGGTCACCGATATTTCACCTGACATGTACGAGTATGTCACTAATAACAATTATGAATATAAAAATAACAGATCTTGCTATTTTCACATTTGGCAAGTTAGTTACAATTTCATATTCATTTTTCACATTTACATAAACTATTTCTAAGAATTTGTCAGGTGTGGTACAATTTCATATTCATTTTCACATTTACATAAACTATTTCTAAGAATTTGTCAGGTGTGGTACAATTTCATATTCATTTTCACATTTACATAAACTATTTCTAAGAATTTGTCAGGTGTGGTACAATTTCATATTCATTTTCACATTTACATAAACTATTTCTAAGAATTTGTCAGGTGTGGTACAATTTCATATTCATTTTCACATTTACATAAACTATTTCTAAGAATTTGTCAGGTGTGGTACAATTTCATATTCATTTTCACATTTACATAAACTATTTCTAAGAATTTGTCAGGTGTGGTACAATTTCATATCCATTTTCACATTTACATGAACTATTTCTAAGGAATTTTGCAGGTGAGATACAATTTCATATTCATTTTCACATTTACATAAACTATTTCTAAGAATTTGTCAGGTGTGGTACAATTTCATATCCATTTTCACATTTACATGAACTATTTCTAAGGAATTTTGCAGGTGAGATACAATTTCATATTCATTTTCACATTTACATAAACTATTTCTAAGAATTTGTCAGATGAGGTACAATTTCATATCCATTTTCACATTTACATAAACTATTTCTAAGGAATTTTGCAGGTGAAACACAATTTTATATCCTGGTAAATGTAGTTGGTAATCATATTTTCATACTACCATATTAGGAAATGTGAATTCCAAATATGGAATGATTACAGCCAAAACAAGGTCAGCTTCGACGTTCAGTTGTGAGACATAACAAAAAAAACGCAGCTAGTAATACATTTTGAAAAAAAAAAAATACAAAATAAATGCAATCAGAGGCACCGACTTTACGCGTAGGAAATAAATAGAACACGTTGTGACACAGTCTCACCAGCCTCTTTCACTCACGCAATATAATTACGCTATTTCCCAACGCACTTATATTTAATACATTGATGAAAAACACCACAAGAAAAATGTAAATCAGGCTTGTAATTACTAGTTACTCAACTCGAACGCAATGTTCATCACTATAAAAGTGGATAAATTCGAACCAGCCAGCTCATGACCGGAGACGTCTGGTCGTCTTTGTTGATAACTCGCCAATTCACCATAATCGTGGTGGTGAACTGTTTAGCTGATTTTTCCAAAGATGGACATTCAATTCATATTCATCCCAACTTATTTGAATACTCTTTCGGAAATTTGAGACATTGTTCAAAAAATCGTGTACAGGGATATGTCTGATGTCAACTAATAATACGCAATTATCCAGCCAGTACAAGAAATTATTGCTGATACTAAACATGTATTGTATTGGGAAGTTGGATACAAAACGTGTAGTCCCCGGGCGTGTAGTAGACGAGCATAATCATACTGTCAAATGTTTTTCGTCTTAGCCTTATCTTTTCGTCTTAACCATCGCAGTCCGTTTCATTGAATGTTTAGTTTGATAAATTATAAACATATATTCAGTGTGAGACTGTTGCTTTCAAGTTGTGTTAATACAAAGATGATTTAAACTTGTCCCTTTCGTTGTCAACGTATTCAATATACAGAAATAGCATGCTTGTGTGCGTTTGCGTGAGTGAAAAGTGCAGATGAGGTTTCTGGTCGCAACGCGTTTTATTTATTTCTAACGCGCATGATCGCGCCTTTGATTACGCTTATTTTGTTCTTTCATACTCGAAATCTATCGCTGACACCGTTTATTTTGTTATTTCTCACAACTGAATGTCCAAGCTGACTTTGTTTTGGCTGTACGTGCGTTAGCCCTGCATACAGTGCTGTGTGTACGGCGTTCGGTTGATAGATGTCCCCACCACAGTCCTGCGTACCTTCATAGACAAAGTCCGGGAGTGCACCGTAATAGACCATTTTCCGTTCACTGCCAGAATCACGCGTTATGCGTGAAATCGAACGTAAAAACAGGACAAACAAAGGTCATAGCGTCGTAGTCGCGTCAAACATCGCGTGGGATTCGACAAACGCGAAAGTATTTCAGGGACATTTCCATGCTTAATAATGTGCTGTCCACATTTGATGATAGGCAATTTCGATTAAGTAAAGGTATTCGGAAGCAATATTCCTCTGTCGAAGATCGGCCGGTCAATGTAAGCTACAAAATAAAGAAATTCTAGTTCAAAATCAAATCGTTCGATTTTTGCGGCAGACGTTCGACGCGCGTGTTTCATGCATCTCGCGAGATCTTGCAATTGTACAGAAAATCACCTATTGGTGCGCAAGTTGAAAATAAGTAGTTTCCCAGCCGAAATCGGTTGAAATGATGATAGTTATCCGTAACAACCATTACAAAGTTATCAGAAACTGAAATATCTTTAAAAAGCGACTAGTAAAGACGGACAAAATGTAAACGCGTAGGTACCGTAGGAATTATCCACCAAACGCCGCCATTTTTAATTTCATGCACGCAAGAGAATGTGTTTGTTTTTAGGGCAAAGTAGACAATTTCATCCACAATCGGACTCCGAACTGGGAGTTCTGGATATATCTGGTGATGGATCATCATTTGTGGTACCTGGGCATGTTATTTCATTAAAAAATTTATTTTTTTCAAAGTCGCGGACTTTGTCTATGGAGGTACGCAGGGTTGTGGTGGGGACATCTATCAACCGAGCGCGTCCCCGTACACACAGCATGCATCACTGTACGCAGGGCTATACGTGCGTAAGCTTCTCCTACTAATAAAAACAAACATGGCAGCCCCCAGGGTTTGACCCAAACCCCATACAAGAAAGTTTGCTCAATTTGTTCTAAACTTTTTGTATTTCGGCATCCCATGATGTATCCTTGGAAGTAAAGATGTACATTGTTTCATAAGGTTATTATAAGGATAATGCATAATATGCAGTACTTGTAATAACCTCATATAGTATTAATAACATCCAAGGCAGTCGTTGGAGGCTTATCATTAATTGATTCATGAAACTCGTAGTATAATGAGCACTTTCCCACGAGGGAATATCCATTGGCATAAAATGAAAAACAATTGTAGTACTAGTTAAATCCCCCCCCCCCCCGATTACTAAACACGCGACCAATCAAAGACGAATATGGTACACACGCATTCAGTGGGAACATTTATAATTGTTGATGATAATGATTAGTTTGAACAGAGAATTAGCTGTGTGCATGTTTAATTTACAAATCTCAATTTATGAAATTGGTAGACCACATTCCCGAAAATTTGATGGCACTGCTATTGTCGTACATACATGTACATGTTTATTTAGGTTAGTTTTCAAGAATCGTGAATATATCACGGACTTTCTTTAAATAAACATATACATATGGTAAATATGCTTCATTACATAGGATAGCACACTTACTGGGTTCAAAAATTAAACAGTTCTTGGCGCTTTACCAAGGAAACGCGTGTCAGTCCGAAACCTACTGGCAGACAGAACTTCAAAATGGCGACCAATCTCAACTACCTTCGGATTCGTAATCAGCTTTGTAATTGTAGTTTCGGAT